ATATATATATATATATATATATATATATATATATATATATATATTTATATATATATATATAAGGAATATAAAATATCTTTCAAAATATCCTAGGGTTATATCTTTCAAATATCTTAGGGTTATATCTTTCAAATATCTTATTCTTTAAAATATCTTTAGGTGGTCTCTCACGTTTGGTCAGTCGCCGGTCCGTGCTTCTAGGAGGACTCGCAGTGCCGATGCCGCTTTCGAGCGGAGACGCTCTGTCAGTGGTATCCGGCGACAGACTTCCGGAGGAAATCTCGTCCATGCTTTGTAAGAGCTCCTGCGACGACGACGAGGATCTATTGTCGTCGTCCACGGTGTCTTGGGGAGAAACTGGGTCTAACGTGCTCTCGTCTTGTAACGACTGCGAATCTAATTGTGACTCGGCTACGATACAGAAGGGAAAAGCGATTTAACAAACTGTAAGTGGGTCTATCGGATTAACGTTGCATCTACCGTCTTCACCCGTTGAATTATGTACATTGAACTTTTATAATGGTGTTGTATATCGAGCGATATCATGCGGAATAATACCCGTTTTCTCTCTTCTCTCTCTCTCTCTCTTTCTCTCTCTCCCTCTCTCTCTCTCTCTCTCATTCTCTAGATGTTTTCGCGGAACTTTCCTCGACATCTAAATCTTCTTTTAGGACATATTATCCTGATATAGAAACTTGTTTATCTTATATGGAGGAGACCGAGGCTAGATGCCCTATATTTTAGAATTTCGAAGTTACAACTTCTAATTATTATGACAACTAAATTCTAATTATTAAACAACTAATTATTATGACTAATTGTATAAACATAATAGAGACAACTTTTTTCTATGTATTAAAGCCTGCTACAATCCTGTTAACCGTATATTTCGTAATAACCAAAATATGCATACATGCAGCAACATAGCCATCTTCCTCTGATACCGGACCAATCAAAATATTGATTTATCATTGCATGTTCTAGAAGATATAACTGATGATAAAATTACTTATTATACAGAAGTAACTAAAATTCAACCGGTTGACATTGTAGTTACCCACAAGTAAACCTATCCAAAAGTTACACTCCAATTTCTTTCTAATTTGGCACAAATGTAGAAGTACAAAAAATATTTAAGTCGTATTTTTTCATTTTGGTCCATTTTAAGTTTCACGGGCAGTTGATAGCTTTTTAATGTTCTCACTTCTATCATCAACAAGTACAATAGAAATGCATAAGAAATAAAATTGAATACAAGATATAGTTAATTTTAACAAAATTGGCATAGCTGAGACACGAACCATTCTAAATTTCTTTAGCCGAGATTCCAACCGAAATATTTGAAATCTGTGTTAAATTAGCCAAAAATGGTTCAAATCTCGGCCAAACCGAGAAATTATTTGTATAAACAATTTTTTCAACTTTTTACATGTTTTATTTAAACATTTTATTATTTATACAAATAATTTTACACATTTGACTTCATATTCATAATTAGCAAACCAAAAACGTTTATATCTTGTATTGAATTTTATTTCTTATGCATTTTTGTTGCACTTATTGATGATAGAAATGAGCATATTAAAAAGCTATAAACTATCCACGAAACTCAAAGTGAACTAAAATGAAAAAAATGACCTAAATATTTTTTGTACTTCTACATTTTGCCAAATTAGAAAGTAATCGGAGTGTAACCTTGGGTAGGTTTATTTGTCAATCTAGGTTTTAATTATACCATTATTTCTATCTTCTTCACACAAAAATAAAGCAATATCCTGATTAATTCTTCAGTTTAAGTTTACGTTTTACGATTACGGAAATTTATGTGTGAGAACATTTATTTTTCCTATTGCCAAAAATCAATTTTCTCCTATTTTTTAATAGTAATATTATTCTGACTTTAATAAAATTCAGGGAAAAATATTTACGTTCCTGAAAAAATTTTACGATTTTATATCTATTATTGTTTCCAAGATAAATACTAAAAAAGCACATAAGCAATATACTCATGAGACTATGTAGCTCTGGTTTCCCCTATATTTAGAAATTTTATTAATGTAAAATACTAATAATGTTGATAAAATAAGATATATCTGTTTGCGTTCTCGTGCGATTGTTGTCGTTCAGGAATGTTCCCTCGGCAAAATATTGAAAGTAAATATATCATAAAATTGTGACATCTTCCTGTCCCGTTATTCAATTTTACGCGGGAAGATTATCCGAAACAGATGTGACTTCGATGGAGCCGAGATAAGCTGGGTAAACGAGGCGAGTTAATCTAAACGTAAATCGTCGATAAACGGAAACCTTGAGATGGACATATACTGGATTACGAAGAGCCAGAACGGAAATAAATTTCACGGGTGCTAACTAATCTCATGAATATATATCGAGGAGACCGAATAAGTAACTGGGATGACACACGAAAATTACCTTGGGGAGAGTCGCAATCGCTGACCCAGGTGAAGCTGGAGCTCCTCGAAATCGCCGGAGAGGTTTGCGTTGCGACGTCGGAGCAGGTGAGAGTATCCATGGGCGGGCTGTTTGGACAACAGGAGCCCGAACCGTTTCGTATTCTCGACAATAGAGACTGCAGGGAAATAGGCAACTGCGAGCGAAATCGGATAAACTAATCAGTGCGAGCTCACGCTTTCCGGATCGTTCGGATTATCTACGTTGCGATATAGCGTCGCAATGTAACTCGCGTATTTTGATACTTCAAAGTAAATTGGAAAAAATCATATCTGTTGAATTCAAAGTGGTAAAATACGCCAAGAATTAATAATTAAAATATTTAATTATTTCACAAACAAGAACTAATTGCACTGCCCGACAAATTTTAATCTCTTTTTTGTTACACGAATATAAATAATTATTTCTGGTACATTTTTGAATGCTAAATACGAGTTTGTTGCCTAAATATGTCTATCATACATCACAATTTTGAAAAAAAAATTAGATGCAACTAAAAAATACAATTTTGAGGGATTTCAAGATGTTATAACAGCGGCAAAAGTTATTTCTTTCACTTTCTTTCTCTTAAATTTCATTAATACCATATGAAAATATGAACATTTCTTGAGTTTTAAAATGCATTGTTTCATTCCTACACAACATTTCGTTTGAAAAATTATAGATAACAACACATATACATATACATATATATATATATATATATATATATATATATATATATATATATATATATATATATATATATATATATATATATATATAGTCTATATTAGGAAAGGGCTAATTTTTTAAATAGATCTATCTCTAAAACAAAAAAATCGTACGAAAATAAAACCAAACACATTTTAAAACTTAAGGTTCATATTTTCATATTGCTCTTTAACAAAATAAAAAAAAAAAATCTTTGCCGCTGCTACAATATGAAACCTCTCAAAATCGTTATTTTTGGCTTTTTTATCTCATTTTCTTTTAAACTGTCACACGATAATCAAATTTGAGTAACAAATTCATCTTTAGAGGCTTAAAGTATATCGAAAATGGTTATTTGTAATAGCAAAACAGTATTGCATATGTTATGTATATAAATTTTTTTTTTACTTTTTTATCTGAATTATTTGAGTAAAATTCAAGAGTTTATAATACGTTATATATATATATATATATATATATATATATATATATATATATATATATAT